GCAGAGGACCCAAGTTCAGCTCCCAGCACCATGTTGAGTGACTCACAACCACCTGCAACTCCAGCTCCAGGAAATCCACTATCCTCTCCTGTCCTCCATGGGCACCTGCACCCACATGTATATATGCATGGCAGTACATACACATAAACAGATAAAATAAAATAAATCTTTAAAAAATATTAATAATCTGAGGAGCTTTAATGTAAGCCCAACAAGTAGCAAATAATTAAAATCATATAAAACATGTTTGCTTTTAAACTAAAATGAAAATGAACTATAAGTTCTATGAATTTGGATGTTAAAAATGAACTTTTAATGTATATCAAAACATCCCAATGAGGGGCTAGAGAGATGGCTCCGTGATTAACTGTTCTTGCTGTTCTTGCAGAAGACCTGAGTTCAGTTCCCAGCACCCATGTTGAACAGCTCACAACCACCTGTAATTCCTGCTCCAGGGGATCCAACACTCTCTTCTCACCTCCATGAACACCTGTGCACATAAGCACATGCTCCCCCACCCCACCATATAATTAGAATTAAAAAAAGAAAAAGAAAGTAAGTAAAATTTAAATCCATGATAAAACCTTCCACTGAATAAAAGAAGAAAATGAAGAGAAAAACTAAGTACAAAATCTAAGGAAGGAAAAAATAGAAATTATAGCCAAATCAACAAAAAACGGCAAAGCCTTGATAGCTAGTCATTGCTAGTCTTTGTACTTGTGACATTTGTGCTCAGAAGTTCCTGTAAACTCAGGCCACACCAGACAACAGATTTTGTTCTTGGGGATAACACACAGAATATAATAGAGTCCAGTGTACTTGAGGCTATGACTCAACTTGAACATCTGGGGCTCCTCATGAAAGTAGATTACCAGCAAAGAAAGTTACACTATCTGTGGGAGAGCTCATGATTGGTTACCACGAGCGGCCAGGGTTTCTGCCACACAGTGGGGGTGGAGATGCCTCACTATAAACTGGGGGATTCCTTGGAGAATCTCTTGGTATGGCCCTGTCTAGGACAACCGTGAGCAGACTTCTCAGGGAGCCAGCAGAGATGAAGAAACCAGGACCCAGAGCTCTAGTGAACACCTGGGTCGTCCGCATTAGGAAGAGACTCTGGGTCATCCTAAGTGCTATATGGAGGTGAAGATGATCAAGCTTGTGTCTTAGAGGACTGAGAAGGACATAGCAAATATGACCCCAAGAACAGCAAAGACTTGGACTTTTCTATTTCGTAGTAAGTCTTTGTGAACTCTGGCTGGCTATCACTAGAGAGAGACCTTAGGAGAGAGGGGTCTTAAAATTAGGAAGTGGACAGAAGCACCTCTGAGTGGTGGACAGGAAACTGTTACGGATGTCATTGTGCCGCCTCACATTTCCCCAGCCCCATCTCCTACCCCAGCTCTGCTGCAGAGACCAGGTCCAGAAGATCATGATCAGGCTCGTCCAGCACCTTGCTTTAGTCCTAAACTGTATTTCTTTCTTCTGCCTTGGGGTTTCCATGTGACGCTATGGGACCCCCATGGAAACGTCCTTGCTACTCTCGTACAAAGAGAATGCCTGTAGGAACAGCTTCCAGCAATGGGAATAAGAGCTCATGAATAAAGACTTTTAAGCTGGGGAGATAGCTGTCAGTCAAGTGCTTGCCCTGTGAGCTAGAGAACCCAGTTTGCTCTCCATTACCATGCAAAAAGCCAGATGTGGGGGCAGGCACTTATAATCCCAAGCACTGACAGGCAGAGACTAGCAGACCCCTGGAGCTTGCTAGCCAGTCAGCCTAGCCTAATCAGCGACCTTAGGTCCCAGTGAGTGACACTGCCTGCAAAGCAAAATGGGCCGCTCCTGAGGAATGACATCTGAGGTTGACCTCTGGCCTCAACATACAAGACATACAAGTACATGCATACACACAGACACACACACACACATACACAAACACACACACACAAAGCCTCTTTCATGCCACAGGAAACAGTGTAGAGGAACATTTTTAAGCCTCAGAAGACTGCAATGGAGCTCCCAGAGTGCTAGTTTACTTAATAAAAACACACGGTCATAATACCTCTGTTCCCTCCTCCTCCTCTTTGTTCTGCTCTTGGGAAACCCTGCCTGGGACACTGATTGTCATACTGGAGAACTGACTTTTCCCTGGCCACACAGAGCAGCAGTACTCTTCATCTCCTTTAGAAAGAATTCAGTGCAACTTGGGGCCCGTGTGCTTGAATACGGCAACCCGGTTTGGGAGAAAGAAGGCTGGCAGTTGTCCCCAGAGGGGACTTGCTTCCTGTTTGACCTCACTGCTGATGGCCCCATCCTTGCCCCTAGTTCTTTTTCTTTAGGGGTTTGATTTCTTTGAAGCACACAAACAAGGCAAATATCTAGCTAGTCTTCTCACATGAACTGCTCAGGAGGTGCCTGGTGAAAATGGAGGTTCAGCAAGCTACAGTACCCTAGGATATCCCCTTTACCCTTTAGTACCCTAGGATATCCCCTTTACCCTTCAGTACCCTAGGATATCCCCTTTACCCTCCAGTACCCTAGGATATCCCCTTTACTTTTCAGTATCCCAGGATATCCCCTTTATCTTTCAGTTACTGTCACTTATTTTCTTTGCTATTTCACAGAGTCATGGAACCATGTTTTCTTCTTTCAAATGGCAAACTATTTTCCTTGGCACAGGCCCAGAATACAGCAACAGTTAAACTTGCTGCTATGTGAAAGAGCTTTATTTGTTTAGAATTTACTCCGAAGGCCGTGAGAGCAAGCGACCTGGATTTTAGGAAGAAGCCCCAGGAAATTCAGATTATTTTCTTTCCTGTCTTCTTGCCAGGATGCTGGCCCTTTCTTTGGCCAATACAATCTGCAGTAAGGTCAAAATTTATGCTAGCTGAATTCTCATAGGGTATCAGTCGCCTCGCTTTCTGAGAAGCAAGTGCTTACTTTTACAGGATAAGAGGCAGGCAGGAGCACCAAGGGGAAATGACACCACTCACTTAGGCTTCCACATGACAAATAGCTTGCTAATCTTCCCGGATCAATTTTGGAGGTGTGTATATCCTAACAAAGAAAAGGGATTCAGTCTGTATGTACACATCCATCATACCTTGAAGAGAAAGCCAGTCTGGATTTAAAAACAAAATAACCTTCAAACGAATACTGCGGCTGCCCCCAACTGACCCATAAGGAAAAAAAAAAAGCTATGAGAATGTGAAAGCCAAAAGCCAGGAGGCTCAGAAGGAAACTTGAAAATGGATAGAGACATTTTGAACAATGGATAGCTCACATCATTTAATAGGAAGCGACAGTGTGTTGTCTAAGTCACAAAAGGCTAGAGGTCCAGAGATTGCCTACGCTGGAAAGAACACAGGAGTAAACTGACCTTGGGCTGGGAGATAGAGGTCAAAAGAGGTAGAATTGGCTCCACTTTTTGCTTCACTATCAAAATCAAATTTTTTCTTAGCATTGAAAAAATATATAGGAACATTTCTTAACACAGACTACATTTCATGCTAACTTTGGCTTCTTGAATCTCTCTTTTAAAATTTTATTTTTATTTTATGTTTATGAGTGTATTGCCTGAATAAGTATACCTGTGGCATGTAATACCCGCAGAGGTCAGAAGAGGGTGTTGGATCCCCTGTAACTGGAGTTAAGAATGGTTGTTAGCCACCATGTGTGTGTTGAGCTCTGAACTTGGATCCTCTGCAAGAACAGCCAGTGCTCTTAACCACCGACCCATTTCTCCAGCCCTCTCTTTTTAAATTTTATTTATATTTAATGTGTATGAATGTTTTACCTGGATGTATGTAAGCACATCACATGCATGCAGTGCCCAAAGAGGCCACAGGAGGGTGTCACATCCCCTGGAACTGGAGCTAGCCACCATGTGGGTGCTTGGGAACTAACCTGGGTCTTCTGTAAGAGTAAGCAGTGCTCTTGACCCCTGAGCCATTGACTCTCTTAATAATTAAGAAAAGCCACCAGGAACTCAGAAGGATGAGATCAAAATGATGGTCTGTGGCCTGAGACCACCTCAGTGAAATCTGCATTTGGAATGCATAGTTGCTCTGCTTATATAAGCTCCAGCTCTTATTCCCACATTTTTCCCTTACAAAACAATTCTTCTTACTTCCGGGACAATAAATAACTGGGTTCTGCTGCATCCCTGGTCAATCCCAACAGATTTGTTCCACATATTACCTTCAAGACTGTTTATTTTGCTTCATCTTCTCCAGGATACAGGGAATAACACAGTTTGCTTATGTCCAGACTGATTTGTCCATTTATTTCATTTTTATTGGCCTTATTCCAGTCCATGAGAGGGATTAATCATTAAGTTTTAAGTCCAAAAAGTTTTGTTGTTGTTTTGTTTTGGAGATAGATCTCTAACCTAGACTGGCTGGGACTCCTTGTGTAGCTTGACGATGACCTTGAGCTGCTAATCCTCCTGTCTCTGTCTTCCAAGTGTTAGGATTACAGGTGTGCATCACCAGGCCTGGCCTATGTGGTGCTGGGGATTGAAACTAAGGCTTGATGTTGGCTAGGCAGGTACTTTACCAACTATACTATATCCCCAGGACCACCCAAAAAAATATTTAAAATGTGAACAAGTGCAACAGATGAATGATCTTACAAAACAGTGGTTTATCTAGTGGAGATCAGAAATAGACAGGAGGGAAAGAAGGAAGGGAGGGAGAGAGGTCAGGAGAGGGGGCAAAATTTCCCAGGTTCAAATTTCCCAACGCGATTAGAGAGGATAAAAACTAATGAGCAAGTACAAAAGCTTCATGCCACTCCGATTATCGAGAAAATGTCACTATTTTCTGTATGTTACTTTAGGATCTTTCTGCCTACAATTTACCTTCTTGGGCTACAGAGTAGCTACTTGTCTACATTCTTCAGCTCCTAACATTTTAATTTGTCCTTTTTTCTCTCTTTTTTAGTTGTTTTTCATATTTTCAGTGCTATCAAAACAAAACAGAAAATCCCACCAAGCTTACCATTTCCACCAAGGATAAATATAAGAACATCCCAGCAGTCACTGTTAAGATCCACTCTTGGACACATGGATCAGCAGACACCGAGAGACCGATGTATAGTCCTACAAAGGCTGTCAGAGCGCTCAAGAAATTCATCAGGATGGCAGTCCTAACGGAGAGTCCAGAGCTTAACAGCACTGCAAAATCTCCTGGAATTTAAGGGGGGAAAGAAAAATGTAACTATCACTTATTTGAAGATGTTTTGGATAAACTCCTGTACTACTAGTCTGTTTCAAATTTCAGTAAGTGTAACAGATATCAAAAGATGCTTAGTTAGTAAAACACTGTCATTTATGTCTCTGGGATTCACAGTTCAGCTGAAGTTAGAGTTGGAAAGGTTTGTTCCTTTTTCTTTTCCTAAATTTAATTTGTCCAGAGAAGTCTGGGGATGTTCTCCAAGTCCTGATAGCCTGTGGTATTTCAAATTACACAAATGTAGACTAAAGTCACCCTCCAGCCCAGGGTTCCTATATATTTTGGAGGGGGCCTAGATGCTTGCTAGGAGAATCATGATATTACATAGGCTTTTATAACTTAGTTATTTAGAAACTGCTGTGGAGAAAGAGGAAAACTACTGAATCAGAGAATTTTAAATCACTGCAGAGACTGATTAGGGAAATAAAATTTCCACTTAGAAAATGGTTTTCTGCCTTCATAACTGGAGAAACCAATCTCTCTCTCTCTATACGTTTCCTCCAAAAGATGAAAGATCTACCAGCAAATCCTAAAGCATCTGTTTTCAGTCTCATTAAATAGAGACTGAAATTGAATAACTGTCCCATGAACAGTTCTTGATATAACCATGCCAGTCTGATACAGCCTGCCACATCATCCTGTGATTTGGGATTGAGAGGAAAGTACCACACTAGTACTGTAGTAACCAAACACATGGCCATAGGGTGTGACTCCCAGACCGGTTAAGTGTTTTGATATTTTATTTATTGTTTTTATTTTATGCATATGCATGTATTGTTTGCATTTGTGTAAGTGCACCCATGTCCTGCAGTATCTGAGGAGGTCAGAAGAAAGCGACAGATCCCCTGGAACTGGAGTTATAGATGGTTATTAGCTGCCAGGTGAGTACTGGAAATCAAAACCAGGTCCTGTGCAAGAGCAGTCAGTGCTCTTAACCCCTTAGCCATCTCTCCAGACCAACAGACCAGTTAAGTTTTAATGGGCTCATAAAGGACCTTGGATAAAGTGTTCTAAGCAGCATGTGTTTGGGAACAGGGCTTTGGGGAACGGGTACTGAGAACAAGAGGCAAGAGTAGCCCAAGGGACAGTGCAAACTAGAAAGTGAGAGAGAACGAAGAGGCTAAGGGCCTTTCCAGTTCCCTCTCGGTGCTGTGATAAACCACTGACTGAAAGCAACTTAGGGGAGGCAAGGATTTCATTTTCCATTTCCAGGTCACGGTCCATCACTGAAAGAAGTCAGGGCAGGAACTCAAGCAAGAAGTTGAAGCAGAAACCAGAGAGGAGCACTGCTTTCTGGCATGCTTAGATAGTTTTCTTACACAGCCCAGGACCACCTACCCAGGGAATGGTGGGCTGAGGCCGCCTATACCAACAATCAAGATAATTATCCACAGATGTGCCCACAGGCTAATCTGATCTGAGCAATCCCTCAACTGAGACTTCCTTTTCAGGTGACTCTAGTCTGTTTCAAATAGATATTTAAAGCTGACTAGTCCAGAGCCCTTTCCGTAGGATACATATGTGGACAGTTCCACCTCTGCTCATTCTAGGCCTGTTTCAGAAATCTCTGTTCTATTCGATCTTGGTTCCTGGGCATCAGGACTTAATATACAGAGCTATTAAGATTATACAGAAAAGGAGTCGTACGTGTATAACATATGCCTGTCATTTCAATTTTATTCTTAGCTTTGAATATTCTTTATGAATCAGGTTGATGAAATCATGGTTTGATTTTAAGTGTTATTTTTATCTCACTGGCCCATTTTTTGACATAACAGGTAATGTTTTCCTCTTAACATGTTTACCATATTTAATATGCAAATTTTTAAATCTTGCCAAAGTTTTAGAATGAGACTTTTCTGAATGACTCTTCCATACTGAATTCTCTGGAATCCCCCAGGCCATCATTCCTGGCCCTGGGAAAAGTAAAGGAGTCTACTTGAGTTTTATCTCAAGGTACAGGAATTTTGGTGTGTTTTTTTCCTTATGGTTTAAATAAATTAAAAATGGAAAATATTCATGTTTCAGTTGTCTATTAGAAGTCAAATATATATCTATACACACACACACACACACACACACACACATATATATATATATATATATATATATATGGAAATATATTCTTCAACAAGCAGGTTTTACTGTCCAACTTATTTTACTGTCCAACTAACTTTACTGTCCAATGGTTTTACTGTCCAACTTACCCATCTCATGTGGAATTTCATGGCACAAAATAGCAATTGTCGTTGTCACTCCAGACTCAGATGAAGATGAGAAGGCTGCACCTATCACTAGGCCATCTGCAAAATTGTGCAGGCTATCCCCAACCAGTATCATTACTGCCAGCAGGCTGACAGCCTTGCCTAAAGGACCAAACAGTGTGAGGATTAGCAGAGCACTGCATGTGTCCCGTGTTCCTTGATATCCAAGCACCTTTCCCATCCACACTGACATCCTTCTATCACATCTCATTCAGTAAGTCCACTTTATTTCACCTTTTAATATGAGCAGCACTAGAGGTATAAACACAGTGACAAACTTGAAGTAGTCACTGTTTTTGTTGTTGTTAACTGGTCTGATCAATAATGAAATTAATTATGGGTTGGCATTAAAGTTTCATCATTTTATCCAGCCATGATAAAAAATTAAATTGAGCATGATGCTACAATCTCCCCAAAGGCTGCCAATACCTTCCCTACTGTGGCCTTTGTAAGATGTTTTTAGATAGGTTAAGAACCTTGCTGTGAACAGAATGCTTAAGACCGCCACTTCATGCTAAAACTTGCTTTCCTAATGTGATGCTAGTAGGAAGCAGAGCCTTTGGGAGGTGGTTGGGTGATAAGGCTTGGGCCCTTCTTGCCATGTGAGGGCACGATGAGAGGATACCATCTATGTACCAGAAAGTGGGCCCTTGCCTCACTTTGACCTTAGACTTTCAGGTTCCAGACAGCGGAAAAGAAATTTCTATTGTCTATAAGCCATCCAGTATGTGGAAATTCTTCTAGCAGTGCAAATGGACTGATGCAGAGCACCAATAGCATGCTGCTGGCGTTCTAGAACAGTTCCTCTGAGCCTGATCGTCCTGTCTCCATCTGTTTTGTATACTTTATGTCACTCTGTGATCATTGCATTGTGTGGTCTGACTGGGGTTGATATCCCTCCTAAACTGCTTCATTCTCTCCCCCAACTGTGGCCACCTCAGAACTACAACCAACTCTTCAGGCTCCCAAATTATCTTTGGAAAAATTATACCATGTACTTGTTTTTCTGCAAAATACCTTTTAGTACTAGGACAATTAGATGTTGATCAAAATAAAGAGATGCTCCCATCTTCGTAAGATTCTGTTACATGATGCACATTAACTCACTAGGAGTTGATAAAAGAATTTTGATCATAATTGGGGTGAAGTTTTTAATGGAAAGAATTTCTACTTTGAAAACCTTAAATTGGATATTGCAACCCAATTATAGAGTTGAGTAACTAACCCAAAAGTATTTTGAGAATGACACTTGTTCTGACAGTAAGCTGCCCAGGTATATCATTTGATGAGAGTAGTCATGTACCAAGTACCATAGTCTAACACATCATCACACAGCTCAAAATACTCTCGATAAGAGGTGGAAGTAGCAGCTGTTGCTGAATACATTAGTCCAATAATTGTACTTAGTAGCAGTAGGAAGAGGCTAACTTCTCCCTTTTGCCCATTCGTGGCCTAAGACTAAGAGGTACCGTATGGTAACATGGTTTGCTATTTTATGGAGAGAATGTGAATTGGCACATTGTGTACTCCACTTAGGTAAGAAACTCTTATATTTTCAGCCAAGAGATAGCTTGACTGTGTTACAAAGTCAGTGTGTGAAATTTATATCTAAAACTCCAGTATATTTATAAGTATTAAGAGTAGAACGAATGGAGTAGGAGACAGACCAGGGAGAGCACTTCTCTGACCTGTGCAAGGGCCAAGGTTCAATTTCCATTACTGCAAAAGAAAAACGTTGAATAACTTACACCTTTCTCGTGGGTTACTAACTCATCTAATCCTTTGTTTAAAATGGAGAGATTTCAGGCAATAGTCATAAACACGCAGAATAAATGTTAAATTATGGAATTCAGGGAGCTCTTACTGAAATTGCCTGAAAGATCTTGAACTCTAATAACAATGCTAAGGCACTTAGCTGTTTCTGCCAATTTTCAAAAATAAAGTTCCTCTTTGTAAAAGGTTTTAAAAAAAATAATGTAAAATGATAAATGCCACAGCATTGCAGGCTGCGAATAAAGATCAACTCTTTATGTCTACGTGTAATTTGATACTAATGGAATATGTTTAAATGCAACATTGTTGGCAATCTATACTTTATGTACACTTTATGTCACTCTTCTAGGAAACTGTATGGACAGTCTGTTACTTTAGGATTTCTGATTACAGGCTTCTAAATGTCACAATATGGACATGTAACAAGACTCAAGGCAAATATACACATTTGCATGTAAGCCACAAAGAACACAGTGTGCATATTCTTTAAGACAATTTAAACATTTAGTGGAAGATAAGCATTCCCTGGCAATTTAATGTACTTGTTACTAAAATAACTGTGATATTTTACCTTTGTTCACGTACCTAGCAGTCATCAGAATCTCCCATGTCGTCTGAACTATCTGAGATTTTCCATCATGAAACATGGGCTGGAACTAATATGATTTGGGGCTTTGTTTATTTAAATCAAACTGTGGATAGGATTTTCACATCCTGTCTTTTGAAACACAAGTTGGGTTCTACCAATGAGGTAATATGAAACAAATAATCACATAGTTGAAGCTAATTCAGTATTTTCCTGGCAAAAGGCAGCTGAGTGTTCTAATGTGGATTTGCTCACTATTCATTCTGTTTGCCAAACTTGATATCTGAACCGGGAAGATACGAGGACCTCAAATGTTTGCATGAGACGACTGCGGCCCCCTGATGTGGTTTCCATACCCTGCTCCTAATTCGAGTTGGCACGTTTTTCTTTCCCTTCCTTCCTTTCAACAATAAAAACAACAAAGAAAGTCTGATGTAGACCTACTATATGCCAAGCATTTTAAATTAATCCCAGAACTAGGAATTTTAAATGAAAAGTATTAATAGTATCTTGAAATCACAATTGGACAGAATATGTAATTAAATATTTTGAGTCAAATTAATAAATAAATTGACCTAATTAATCTAAAACACTCAGACAAGTCATTGTTATAACAGAGCAGAAATAAGTGTTTCATTGTATTAGCATTTGCATTCCAAGCTGTATGATACACTATAGACAACGGGCAAACCTATTTTATTCTCCAGTCAGGTCTCAAGCACAGCTCATCTTCAGAGTATATTTTCCAGGCTGGTGATCAAACCCAGGGCCTTGCACAGGGCAGGACAATACTTTCACACTGAACTACAGTCCAGCCCCCAAATGCTTTTTGACTGAATAGCGAATATGAGAGAATCCATGGACATGTGTGTGAACAAAGGATCACATGGAACTTCTGGTGTGCTAGCATTCCTTTAGTTCCTAATGCTGAAGCTCACTAGCTGTATAAGCCCTCCAATAACCCACTTCTTTGTGTGTAAAATTGAAAGAATATTTATTCTTACTTCATTGTGTTGTGGGAAAAGTGAGAGAGTCCCTATCAAGTGTTTAGCAATGTGCAGATATTTGGGATGAATTTCAGTTGACCATAAGAGAAGATTAAAACCTAATTAAACAATGGGGAAAACAGAATGCAGTAAAGTTCATACTGACATACAGGATGCTTGGGAGGCAGAAAAGAATGGGCAGGCACTGAAGATCTTATTGCAAAACTTTTAATCATCAAATAGACACCCAAAATGAAACCTATGTGGTCTGGGCATCTTTATTTTAAAACAGAATATTTTTCTGTGTCACCTTTAAATTTAAATTCAATTTTTTAAAGTTGGTACTCACATTTTCTGTTGGAGGTTGTTGTGTTAGCTATGGGGAGTTCAGCTGCCTGTGAATCTTCTGGGCCTTTCTAGGTTAAATTAAAAAATAACCAAGAACAAGGTAAGTAACTGCCATGTTAGATGAAACCAGAAACAGCTAAGAGTTATGCTGACTTTTCAAAGACATTTTACTGCTGTAGGTGTATGTGAGAGTGTTATTTCTCATACACAATACATAAAGTAAAACCAGGCCTATGAACAAAACATACTCTTTGCATTTTCTGTGTTTAGGTGGAAACAGCACTCTTACATAGATCAGTATCTTTCCACAGAGAACTGCTACCACGATAGCCTGGAATTTAGACTCTTAAGTTATGTAAGCCTTTTGAAATGCAAAAGTTTAGAAAAATGGTCCTTGACCTAATTTGGCACTTCTGCAGGATGGGTTGTAGACCCAGGACTCATCTTTCATCCTGTGAGTAGATGGTGCATTCTGGCTGGAGAATAAACCCAAGCAAACCAATACCCGGCGTTAGTTCTGTGCCACAGTGTTCTGTTTTTCGCTTTGCTAGTCGGTAAAGAACCTTGTCAGTGTACAAAGTCAAATAGCCAACTACAAAAGACAACTGGATCATTTAATGTTTTCAACCTTTCTTATGACTGAGAAGTGAGATTTTGGAATGGTCATATGTACCGTGTGTTAGGATTACATAATTTTATTTTCAGAGACAGGATTACAGTCCAGTTTATGAAACACATTCTCTATTCTTCTGATTCTCTCTCTCTCTCTCTCTCTCTCCTCTCTCCTCTCTCCTCTTTCCCCCTCTCCCTCCCTCTCTCTCCTCTTTCCTCCCTCCCTCCATCCCTCTCTCTCTCTTTCTCTCTCTCTCTTTCCCCCCTCCCTCTCCCTCTCCCTCTCCCTTTTCTGTCTTTTTGAGACAGGGTCTTCCTGTAGCCCAGCTGGCCAGGAACTTGCTATGTAGGCCAGGCTACCCTCAATCTCACAGGGATCCACCTGCTATGGTCCCACCTCTATTGAGGTCCTTCTTCCCCTTTACTCCTATAGTCTTTGTATAGCCCTCCTTCCCCACCTCCCCTGTAACTATCCCTTTTTACACATTTCTCCCTTAGTAACACCTTTCTCCCACCGTGCTCTCTCAGGTTCCTTCTTTCCCTTTACCTCCCCACTTCCCTAACTTATTCCTGGTTCCTTCAGTTGCATCATGATATGCACTCACAACGATTTGGTGCTAAGATCCACAAATGAGGGAGAACATACGTCTTGTTTTCCTGAGTCTGTGTTACTTCACTTAGTACATTTACACAATGGAGATCTACTCAGCAATAAAGAAAAATGAAATAATGAAATTTGCAGGTAAATGGATGGATCTAGAAACTATTATACTAAGTGAAGTAACAAACTTAAAATCATTTTTAAAGGAACACTTTTTAATAGCTTCTCAACTGATTTTTTGTAAAATTCATATATATTTTGATCACATTTAGATCCCCTGCTCTATCTGCACCCCCATTAATAACCCCACCCAATTTCACGTACACACAGACACAGTGTGTGTGTGTGTGTGTGTGTGTGTGTGTTTGTGTCTACAGAGTCAAATTTGTGTCCTCAAATACCCTTTGGTGTGGGTCCATCCACTGGAACCTGGTCAACCTACCGAGTCTCACTCTTAAATGACTGAAGTTGTATTTTAAAAGTTAATATGGAAAATTTTGTTACAGAAAATTCAGTCATATTAAAGGTACTTGTGATGAAACATATTAGGCAAAATTTGTTCTCTCCTGCATTATGGAATGAACACTCTTGTCCTAGACAGATTAACAAAGTCCTTGTTCAGCACTTATTTACAACAACCAAAAATGAACTTAGGATTATACAAAATGGAAAATCCAAAGGCCAATTGGTTTGTGAAAACTAATAAATAAAATGATGATTAGTACTGCCAACCTGACCCTCTGTTCTTTGTGGAATAAAGAAAAGAAGGGAGTCGAGTCAGCAGAATGCTTCAGATCAGGAACCTACCAACTGAATAGTCGAAGTCGTTTTGGCTCTGCCTGACTGGTCGCTTAATTCAGAGTTGAGTGCAAGGTGGTGGGAATGCTCCACATGCCCATTAGCCAATGGCAGTCCCTGCTGGATGAGGACAGTTCAAAGTTAGCCAGAGGCCAGAAGGACATAGGTATAGTCTCTGGAAATTCCATGGTTTTAGTAAACATTTTGCTTATCAAAGTGTTTGGTGGCACAAAAATTCTCCCTGGAAAATCCCATACTGTTAAGTATTTACTAAAATGTCTCTCACCTTGGGGAGACATCATGTGTACTCAGAATGCCTTAAGAATGCAACTTCCAAAAGTCTACTTATGATTAAAAGAGGTTGGAATGGTGGTAGTGTTTATATTATCATTTTCTGAACTAAAAATTATCCTGGGCATGGTGGCAGAGTCAAACGCATCTCTGTAAGATTGAGGCCAGCCTGGTCTACATAGCAAGTTCCAGGCTAGCAGGGGATACAGGGGAACCCTGTCTCAAAAAGACCAAAATAATTAAAATTCAGTAAAAAAAAATATATATATATATATAATGCAACATTTGATTTTCAATACTTTCTGATAGAAATACAAAAATGATTATTATCAAAACTGTGTCGTACCCTGAAACTACTAAAATAATAGCTCCAGGCTGGAGAGATGGCTTAATGGTTAAGAGCACTGGCTGCTCTTGCGGGGAACCCAGGTTTGGTTCACAGCTCCTACACGGCAGCTAACAACCACCCATAACTCCAGTTCCAGGGGATTCAGTGCCTTCTTCTTACCTCCACGGGCACTACACGACACAGGTGTACTTACATACATGCAGGCAATATACTCATACACGAAAAATAAATAAATAAATAATATATGAAATAATAGCATCATAAATGTTATTCAGTTAGCATTTTTATTCTTTTTATTGAATGCAATAGCATGAATCTTATAATTGTTATTGTTGTTATTATTATTATGTGTATATATGTGCCATAGTGCTCATGTGAAGGTAAGAGCACAAGTTTGTAGAATCGGTTCTCTCCTTCCACCTTTGTGTAGGTTCCAGGGATACAACACAAGTCATCAGCAAGACTTCACCCACTGAGCCATCGCATTGGCCCTAAACTGTGTTCTTCAAACTCATCTTTAGTTCCCTGTCAAGCTCAGGAATGATTGGAACAAACTAAATTTTTCCATGCTCAGAATTTCTTTCTAACTCTGAAATATAGGTTGGTATATGGAATTGATGTTATAGTTTAATAATTTATAGTCACATATATGACAATCTACTGTGCATAAGTGAGGATATATTATTAATCTTGTGTTTCTTGAGATTAGAACTCCTTTTGCAGAGGTTAATTTCTTACATTTCAGAGCAAGTCCCATGAGAGAACTGGGGGTCCCAATTTTCAAATTACTACGGCATATTAGCTTAAGTACCACCCCCACAAAAAGTCCATAAAAATTAATCTCATCAAATGAGTTTTACAAGATTTTATTTGAAATCTGAAACTTTGGCATCTGTTTATTATTGAAAATTTTCAAATATACAGAAAAGCTGAAAGAATTGTAACATGACCGTTCCTGCATCCTACCATTAACACTTTACTGTAACTGTTTATAGTGTGTCTATCTATCTATATCCATCTACACATCTACAAAGCTACTCTAACTTTTGATGCATGAAACAGAATTTTATACACACTTAGGGATATAATGAAAAGCATAATGTCTGCCCTGCCCACAGGCATTGCATCTGTGTTGCTAGACATTATGTGAAGATAAAGTGCCAGGAAAAGTGTGAAGGCAGCTCCAGAGGCCCAGGCCTCTGTAAGAAAGACTTGCTTTATTTTAATGTCTTGGAGTAGCCTAGGCACGGTGGCTTAGGCCTTTAATCTCAGCACTCAGAAAGCAGAGGCAGGGAGATCTCTGTGAGTTCAAGGACAGTCTGATATACATAATGACTTCCAGGCCATCTAGGGCTATAAAGTGAGACGCTGTCTCAAAAGACAACGAAATAATAATAAAGATGAAATTAACCTATTGTAACCCTTCACAAGCATTTACCTTTTAGTATTCGACCAAACATGTCATCTATTTTTCTTGCCCAATAATGCATAAGAGCGAAAGAAAAGAGATTCATAAACACACTGCTTTTTTTTGAGACAGGGTCACCCTGTGGCCCCAGCTGACCTTGTGGATCAGAGCTGGCCTTGATCTCACAGAGAGCTGTGTGCCTTTGATCCAGAATTCTGGGATTAAAGCAAGCGCCAGGGCTGCTTTTTGGTTTAATTCTGTCTGGGAAGGTTTATCAAACACAGGAGCAATGAAAGAAATGACTCAATCCAGATACAGATTTTCCAGGAATCACATTCTGCAACTTCTGTTTCTGTAATCTTAAACACCATTAAGACAGAGGATGACAATGACAGGTGATTTCGTGAACCTTCCACATTTTTGTTTTCTTTTTTATTTGGTTTTGGTTGGTTCAAAAACAAAGACATCTAAAACCAATCATGAAGGTTAAATAGAGGATTGCAGCAAGTGATTAAGTTGCCAATAATGGGCTTTAAAAACACTGCTAGCCCCTCCCACCGAGGCTGGTGAAAGCACCTGACTAGCTGGCATGAGTTAGCCAGATGCTGCCAGGCCCATCTCCCCGCTTTGGAACTGTCTCCAATCCCTCCCACTGCTCCAAAGCTCAAGCTTTCTCTGCTAGCTAGTAAAAAATCAGCCCGTCCTGTTCCTACCAGCTATTCCTGGGCCTCAGGATGAAGGGGAAGAAGGAGCTAGAGAGAGGGGTATATCAGCAGACAGGTGTTATTAAAGAGGAAATGGGGAAAGGGGGGGAGTACTTAACTGGAGAGGGAGTAGAGAGAGTTATACAGGGGGAGTGAGAGGAGAGATAAATAATGCTTAAATGGTATGAAAAACCGGACGGAAATATACTCATTCAAAGTCCTGCGGAAAAATGCATATACAATAAATACATGAGTATTTAACAAAAACACAGTTGCCAGACAGGAGAAACCTCCCTTTGAGTTGTTGGTTAGGGTAGTCCAAGAGACTCTCAAAACAACACAGGCTATCGTCACAGGCCTCGCTGCCTTCCAGAACTTGAAGGTAAGATCTTGTTGCTAAAGATAGGCCACACTTTGAACACAGGACTTGGTACAATCCAGCTGGAACTGACCTGGAAGCCTCTTCCCTGATGACTAGCTTTCCTAATCTTTGACACTACACAAGCTGCCAAAGGAAAATTAATCAATCAATGGTCCTACCCAACTGTGAATCCTAATAAACAACAATGACTGGCCCAGAAAGCTATTGCTATTGGTACAATAGTGGCACTTTCATCTTGAAGGTAATCGACAGTTGTCTACTTGGAACTAAGGCCCACTCAGTGGGAACTCTCATATGGTACTGTAAACATAGCCAAATACACATGGCTGGAAAAGGTCATGCATTCTACTTTGGCCATATTACTACTAGACCAACGTAATTTCTTCTTTATTCTAAATATGCATCCTCATATTTAGGACAAGTGTACCCTTCACTCCTCACCAAAGAAGCTTCTTTTCACAACAGACGGAGACTACTACAGAATTCCAGAACTGGTATAATGCAGAGAATAAGTGTCTGTGAGATGCTTAACCCTAAGTGACACGTCTTGAATGCAGCCTCTACACATAGGATGAACGTGTCTCTCAACTTTCGCCAGAGCCGTTTCCTTACGTAGCAGATGGCGATTAGCACAGAAACTCACAATTGGTCAATGAGCAGAGAACAAGAGGCTGCAGGTTGCTTATCCTTGAACAGGATTCCTGTTTCAAACCTCTGCCTCCCAAGACTCACGGATCATTGTAGAAGGGGAGATAGAAAGAGTGTAAGACCCGATGGGGTGATGACCACAAGGAAATAATCTTCCAGGCAGCTGGTCAGTTACTCGTATGAACTCACAGCAATGGTGACAGCAAGCACAAGTCCTGTGCAAGCTCAAACCAGACAAGATCCCAGCATAGACATGGGGAAGTGGGTAAGAAATCCCAGTCCAACCTAAGGAACTTTTGGTAACTGATGGCTGCTGGGAGAGGGAGAGACAGGATCTTACAAGGATGGACCCACACTGAAGGACATTTAGGGACACAAATCGGACTCTATAGGCCAGATTTATATATATATATATATATTTGCATATTTATGTATATATGTATGTGTATATATATATGAGTACATTAAATTGGGCAGGGGACAGTGGTGGGATGCAGAAAAGGGAGGGGGTTAGAATGAAAAATTCAATAAAAAGTAAAATTAAATTAAAAAGCAATGCTAATAAAAAATAAGGAGAAAGAAAAACTACTTAAAAAGGATTTGCTAGTCTGCATGATCTGTCTATTCTTAAAATCACTGTGCCATCTTCTACATAGACAACTATGAAAATGTCATTACTTTTTATCCAAGTACTGGGGTTTGAACCTAAGATTTCACACATGGTAGACAAGCGCTCTAGCACTAAGATTCATCCACAGCCCTTTAATTAATTAATTGATTGATTCAATCAATTAATATAGAGGGTCTCATGCAGCCCAGGTTGACCTTGACTTGAACCCCCTCCTGCCTCCACCCTCTATGCTGGCTGCAGGCCTAACCCATTCCACCTGGTGTATGCAGTTCTGGGGATTAAACCCTGGGCCTTGTGTGTGATAGGCAAGCACTCTACCAACTAAGCTACATCCCAAGATCCCCCTTTTTATGGATTGATTAATTGATTTTGAGACAGAACTTTGCTACACAGCCCAGGCTAGCCTTTAGCTTTTATCTCAGCCTCCCAAGTAGCTGGGATTAAAAACATACACTACCACACACTGCTACTTGTAAACAAATACTTTTGAAATAAAGATGAATATTATGAAACCCTGAAGCAAAAGATAAATAAAACTTATACCTTGGCATTTGGTGATACAAGAAGAATAAAACATTTTTCTATCATGAAAAATCCATGGATGCCTCCAATTAATCCCAACAGCTTCCACATAGGTCCTTTGCTTTCATGTAAATGTCCAAACTCTAGAGCTTCCTGCTTATGTAAACCAAGAACCTTGAGAAAATAAGGAAATAACTTTGGTGAGTTAAATATCAAATAATATACCTAGTGGCTCATTATGTTTAACCCTCAATCTATAGAATCCCATGACAACTAAAATCATTAAGCCCAGTGTGCTGTGGGTGTGTGAATACTTCCAGTACATAGTGTGATCAAGGGCAAAGAAAATGTGTACAACAGAAAATAAAGGAGGATGCTTAAGCTTTATTTCAGCAAGTGGCCTATATCTCCACACATTCTGTCTTTTTAAGTTTTTTTTTCCTGGAGTTCTATGTGCATAGAAATATTTCATAAGATTTCAATATTTTCTTTGTCTTTTTGAGACAGGGTCTCAAAAAAGACCAGAAAAAAAAACATCTGAAGATTTCAATATATTTTATATCAAGAACACATATATGTGTCCCTGGGCTCTATTGAAATTAAACTTTTAATAGATATTCTGTTATGCAAATGATCCACCTGCAGGATAATATATCACAGACTTGCTGTATGACTAGGAATGTCATCACTTCCCTGAGAGAAAAGTATAAGAAACTCATTAAGAACTTTGCTCTAGTTAACACATCCCAGTCACTCAACTCCAAATGGACTTCATGATTTCTTGTAAGTAATCGCTACCTACCATACTCCTTTCCCTAAAGATAGCAATTTGTAAAAACAGCTTTGTGGTCTGCAGACTCAAAATGCTCCTGAGTTTCAAATAAAGATAAGGAAAATTGTATGTCCATATTTATGCATATATGCTCATACATATATGCATGTATTCATTTATATGTGTGCAGTCATGGAGTTTGCAGCCACAGATTTAGTTAAAAGCAGAAAGAAAACACCCAGAAAAAATACATTTCTACTGAGCAATTACAGGTTTCTCTTGTTCTCATTCCCCAAATAATATAGTATTGTAACCACCTTCCATATTATTTGCATTGCATTACATTGTATTTTATATAATGTTCATACTGTATTAGGTATTAGACATAATCATGGAATCCAGAGATGGCTTAAAGTATATAATATATGTATAGGGCATATACAAGTTCTACACAATGCTCCTCTACAGAGGACCTGAGCATCTCTGACCTTTCATATCCTTAGACTTCCTGGAACCAATGCCCTATGGATAACAAGGGACAACTGTATGTTTACATGTGTGCACACATGTGTGTACTTAGGACTAAAATCAGCAGATGGTGGTCAATTTGTCCTTTTGGAAAGAATACTGATGTATAATCACTTAATACTTGCAACTAACATTGTTTCATAAAGTAGAGAGCATTAGAATATCATGCAATTAAATGAAATAAAACCCACAATCTCAGGATAAAACAAAGACTTTAAGTTGAATACATTTAGCAATTACAAAAGGAAATCATGGTTGTGGTATTTCCTTATTTGTGTGCAGACCTTTAAAAATGTGGATCACATTCAAGGACCACTGATTTCTCTAGCTTTCCATCACAGTTACATCTTTCTTCCTCTTTCCAATAACTCTTATCCTCATGTTTTTTCTCAAGCCAAAAACCTGCCTTCTAAATGTCATGGAACTGTGCTAACTTTTTCAGCCTGCCTCTTAAACATTTACTAACTACCCAAGTCCATGCTTGTATCCCAGCTGTGTGCTACCCTTGGAGAAAAACTCGGGCAGCCTTCTGCCATTTTCTAGGATCCTGGACAGTAAACAATTCTGTAACTACTGTGGTGACCTAGAAAAAAAGCTGTGGCCACAGTCTCAAGCCAATAAATGAGTCCTGAAATAGTGCCAGAAAATTAGATTACAGGGGAAGTTAAAACTGATAGTGGTTTGTTTAATTTCTCCAACGCTCACTTTGCAATTTTCTGAACATCAAATAATTATTGAGCATCTAAGCATCAACAGTAACCCTAGAGGAAATTGCCAGAGGCTTGTGGAAAATTTTACAAGGGCAAGGGGCAAGATCACTTGTTCACTGTCGCCATCCCTATTAAGAGCTCCAAAAGGGAATAAACTTCTCTGAAGAGCATTCTGCTCAATCTCTTTCAGTTTCTCAGGTCTTAGTCCTTTCATTTTTGATAAATATAAGACCTCAGAAGACTTCAGCAAAGGGTCAACTTCCTGCTGCTTCCATTTAAGAAAAGAAGAAAAAGAGAAGGAGGGGGAGGAGGAAGCAAAAGAGGAGGAGGAGGAGGACGAGGAGGAAGAGGAGGAGGAGGAGGCAGAGGAGGAGAAGACAAAGTTCTTGTCATACAATCATGAAGACCTGAGTTCAGATCCCTAGCACCTACATAAAAATCTGGGTATCACAGAATAGATCTATAATCCTAGGGCTGGGAAACTGACACAGCAGAATCCCTGAGCTCACTATCTAGCCAGTCTATCTGAATTGGTTCAATGAGAGACCCTGTCTCAAAATACAAAGTAAAGAGTGACTGAGGAAGACACCTGATGTTGACTTCTGGGTGACATCTACACTTATGAACAGAGAGAGAGAGACAGAGAGAGAGAGAGAGAGAGAGAGAGAGAGAGAGAGAGAGAGAGAGAGAGAGAAATTCGAACATTATTGTTCAGGTAAGAAAGAGAAGTCTACTCTAAAGTTTCAAATGCCTAAATGCTAATAATGACACTATGACAGAGGTGTATGCTGGGTCAAGGGATAATGAAGCACCCGGAGAATAGAAATTCAAGAAACCATTTCCACCCTTAGCTCTGAAAGGGCAAAAGTAGAAAACCATGTCCCTGAAACTTGGCGACAGGTGGAGCTCTGGGGCAAGCCTCCTGGGGCAACCTGATGATATAACCAGCTACTTCTGGAGCGGATGTCAGAGCCTGGAGGGATCTGGAAGAACACTCTTGCCTCTCTTCCTCCTGCCCTGGCTTTCTCCTAGTGTTTCCCATTGGCTGAAAATAAACAAAAATCCAGCTAGTACGAAAGCTAAGAAGATGCAACTTTTGGGCGGTGCAGCAGACAGAAGTGTAGAAAAGATCTGGTTCTGCAGAAAACCAGCATTACCTCTCACAGCCTTTTCTTTTCTTTTTTTCTGTGATCTCTGACACTGACATTTGCTTCCTGAATCTTTATTTATATAAATCTAGACCTATGGGCCTTTATTTCAAAAATCAAGATATGTAATGGCCTCGATGTCTGGTTAGCTCTTCAAGTATAAAGATGCTCATGGCAAGTAATATTTCTTTCAAAGGAAAACACCAGCTACTGTATTTATTGATTGAAGTCATAGCAAAATCTTTGCAGAAATGTCTGTAGTAGTAAAATGGAAAGAAAAACTAGACACAATTCATCTGAAATGGAAAGAAAGACGTTACCTGAGGGATGAGGTGGAGTAGAGCATCTCCAGAGAGGGTCCCCACCGCCAAGCCCACAAACAGTTGTAAAACAAGACTGTAGTTCTCGCAGCTGTGAAACAGGACCAGTGCTGTCCCTAGCATGGAACCCAGTGTGAGGAGCGTCACAGCCACGGTGCCGTAGCCATATTCTAGTCAAAGGAGATGACAAAAGCTGTCAGCGGACGGCGCTGTCCACCTACGCCTTAGCTAGAGGAAACGCCAAAGCTAACGGCTCAAAAAATTTTATATGGGACAGACGATTATTTTAATTTTTAAGGCTAAGAGGGAACTGCCGTGGTCTTGCTATGACTTGCTGTGGTCTGAATAGTTGTGTCCCCCCAACATTCAGGCCTTTGGTAAATGATTAGGTCGTGAGGGTCTGTCCAAGTGAGGGAGATTAATGCCCTGTAAGGAGGAGAAAAAGACTGAACTGCTTTCGCCCACCCGGGGGAGGCAGTGGGATCGTGCCATTCTGTGAACCAGGAGGCAGACCCTCACCAAACACAATCTACCATGACTTTGATCTTGGACTACTCAGCTTCCGGAACTGTGAGAGACAAAGTTCCATTGCTTTTAAGCCATTCCCTACAGTGTTCTGTTATAGGAAGGATTAAGGCAAAGCTTTTGCTTAACTGTAGCTTCAAAGCTGCCCTGAAAATGCATTTTTTAAAAAAATCACTGCAGGAGGCAAAGACCCAGCTTACCTACCACCCACAAAGAAATGCACATCTCCAGCTGTTAAATGCAACAGCCATTAAAAGAGTCTGCTACTGATTCCTATCTAACCACAGTTTAAACCCTTCCAAGGCAAGGAAGTGGTATTAAGAGAACATGCACTTTGCTCCATTGCAGACCCATGTTTATGAACAAAAATGAGTACACACTTTAGAAGAACTCCCTTCCAAAACCTCTCAAAAACATTTGAGATGTGCAAAGTAACAATATTCTCAATAATTAAAATGAGTGGTCTTGTTGGTGAAAATTGACTTCACAAATATGAAAAGTTGATAATATAATTTTAAACTTTATTTCTATGTGTATGAGTGCTTTGCCTGCATGTATGTAAGTGCACCTGTGCACAATGACCATGGACGTTAGAAGAGGGCATCAGAGCCCCTAGAACTGGAGTTATGCACTGTTGTTAGTCACCTTGTAGATGTTGAGAACTGAATCTGTGTCCTCTGCAAGGGCAGCCAGTCCTCTTAGCCACCGAGCCATCTCTCCAGCCCTGATAATATAAATTTTAAATCTATACTTCAGATTCCTATAATTATTCTTATAGTGACTGAAATTGCTCTCATGGTTCTAGGCTTCCAGGTATTGTTTTAATATTTAACATCATTGAATTGATTGTCAACTTGGAAGATTCTTGAATCACCTGGGAGACAAATCTCTGGACATGTCTGTGAGAAATTTTCTGTATTAGGTTAACTGAAGTGGGAAGATCCACCATAAATATGAATGACATCATCGTATGGATTGGGTCCTGGACCAAACAGAAAGGAGAAAGTGAGTAGAACACCACCATTCATCTCTGACAGCTTCCAGACTACAGATGCAAAGTGACCAGGTGCCTCACCACAAAGTGACCAGGTGCCTCACGTCCCACCACGATGTCTGTACCCTGGAGCCACGAGCCAAAATAAACCTTCACTTCTTTAAGTTGTTTTTGTTAAAATTTTTGTCATAGAAACAAGAAAAGTAACCAACATGGTATGATTTAAAGATTATTTAAGGGGCTGGAGAGATGGCTCAGTGGTTAAGAGCACTGACTGCTCTTGCAGAGGACCTGGGTTTGAGTCCCAGCAACCACATGGCGGCTATGAACCTTCAGTAACTCCAGTTCCAGGGGAATCTGAAGCCCTCTTCTGACCTCTGCAGCATTGCATGACATGGGTGCACTCACATACATGCAGGCAATATACTCGTACACATAAAATAAAAATAATAAATAAAATATTTAAAGATTATTTTAAAAATAAATAAGAGATGGCTCAGTGCTCTTCCCGAGGACCAGAGTTCAGTTATAGCACCCACATCAGGTGCTTCACAACCACTTGAAACTCCATCTCCAAGGGATCCGATGCCTTCTTCTGACCTCCAGGGGCACCCCCATGTATGTGGTATACACACACTCTGACATGTACACATACACACACATAAATAAAAATAGATAAATCTTAAAATATATGTGGAAAACAAAGGAGGACAGGAAAGAGAAAGCATTAAAAGAAGGAAGAAATATCTTTAAGAGGCAAAAAGAAATGATATAGTTACTCACGCCATCATTTTCATTTGGCCATAAATATTCGGAGAAAATGCTTTGTTTTTTTTCCTCTGTTTAGAAATTATCAAGTCATTAAGGAATTTATGGACTATAGGGTTATGATAAATAAGATAAACCAAACACTTGAGCTATCATAATATTGAAGTCTGTTGTAGTTTGAAAGACTTTATTTTTGTTATTTTTAATTATGCACATGTGGTCAGAGGTGTTAGATTCCCTGGAATGAGGGTTGGAATCAGTGGTGAGCCACCTGACATGGATGCTGGGAACTGAACATGGGTCCTTGCAGGAGCAGTACACATTCTTAATCACTGAGCCATGTCTGCAGCCCATCTATTGTAATTTTAAAGAAAATAGCCTCTTAAAGTTTGTTAGAAGAAAAAATATTGGGGGAGGGGCTCGTGAGTCCCCACCCCTAGCTTAGGGGCGATTGGTAGTTGATGGCTATTGGGGAAGGGGCAATCATTTTTTCTCCAGGGGTGTGGCCACTGGCAGGTTGTCCCCGCTCAGCTGGGTGGCCCCACACCCATGCTTATGTGGGCAGTGCTAATTGGATCCAGTGGGTTATAAAAAACAGAGAAGAGGGAGTAAAAGTGGTGAGGATGGGAAGGCAGGTTCTGAGAGACTGGGAGAGGAGAATTAGAATAGACATTAACAAGTATCAAAAATAAATTAAAAACATTTTTTTTAAAAAAGAAAATGTTCTTTCCAACCATACTTAATGTTTTCCTAGAAGCTTTACCCTTCACATCACATTAGATTAATGATACAACAGGTTAATGGCAATGGGTTTGGGATTTCAAGACCTGTGTTGCTGACACTTTGAAATTTACAGGGGTAGATAGAGTTGTCAGTGTATGAAAGGAAACAAGAAATGGTCAGACTTCCATTTTCTCACCTCCTCTGCCACCTCTTTACCTTGACAGAATCTCTATAGTGTTCTAGAAAAAAGTGTGCTGTTCTTGGTTTCAACTCTGAGAGATGAAAAATTCTAGACAGATATTGTTTCATAGCTGTGTGGATATAGTTAGTTTGCCACTAAACTGTACAAACAAAAATAAATGAGGGACTGGGAGGATAGGTCAGTGGTACAGCCTGTGCTAAGAATTCACAAGACCTTGGGTTCTAGCCACAGTATCTAATGAAAATAAAAAGTCAAGATGATAAATTTTATTATGTACATATTTTATAACAATTAATTTTTAACAAGTTTAAGAATAGCTGGAATAGTCATATACCCACACAGTTGTTTTATTTCATTCCAATTTATTAAGAATCTAAGCACAGCTATGTTATAGAAACATCTCTGAAGATTTTCAACCAAGTTTCATAACTCATCCTCTCCCAGATGGACTTTGTGTAGAAATGTTGCTCTCACAGAAATACACAAAGTTGTTGGAATTTTAACTTGGGAAACTGGATGTCTAATAAAACTCAAAGCAGCTGGGTGTGGTGGCGCACACCTTTAATCCCAGCACTGGGAGGCAGAGGCAGGAGTGAGTTCCAGGACAGCTGGGGCTACAGGGAGACCCTGTCTCAAAAAGACCAAAAACAAAACAAAACAAAAAACTCAAAGCTGTGAGGCTTTTCTTCCTTAATGGCAGCTACAAGAGACTATAGAATGTCAAGATCTCACAGGACAAATTCGAGTCTTGCATTTCCCGGGCAGAAGTCAGTCTCCATTGAATTTCCCTTTTCTTACTCCTTGTCCTGTGGGTAACTACTAAGTGATAGTGCAGAGAAACGAATGTTTTCATAACTTTGGAGCTTGTAAGATCTATTTAGATCCTCTGTGAATCAGATTTTGCCTTCTCTCACATGGGTAGGAGACCCTGAAACTGTAAAATCTCTGACTTGTGTTGTCAAAGGAGGCTGCTGATTTACCCCCATTCCCAGCCCAAGTGTCGGGGTGTCTCAACTAGAGTCGGAGACAGGTTCTCTCCAAACATTTCCCATCACTACAGCAGAATCTGACCTACCCATGAAATTCTCACCCATTCCCAAGCAGCTACTTTAAATAGGTCTGAAATTCAATTTGGACATGGTTAGATGCATCTTTCACAGAAATGAGACTGGAGGTGGCACGTAGGGGTGGAATTACAACACACAGAATGTTATATCCTTAACAATTGTCTCCCAGTGTCCTCCCACTTTAAAGCAACAACTTACATTTCTGAAAATCCCAAAGGCCTATATAAGCCTTTTCCTTTAATTATATTAATTTAATTATAACACCAAACTTTAAATTAAGAGCAGAGAAGTTTTAGTAGGATCTTTGGTGTGTGTTATTAATGGGATTTTTCTGAAGAAGACTTCTCTAGAAGAGTCTTAAAATTCATGAGAAAGGGGATAAACCTTTTTTTTTTCACAGAACATAAGTTCAAAAACCTTTGCCCTAAATGGCTTGTACTCACTTACCAGACACCAAGCTAGGTAGTAAGAATATAAACATGCCTATGGGTGTTCACAGGTACCACAGAGGTCTGCATCCATTTGTGGGCATCACAGACCACAAATGCCGAGTTGTTGGGATCCTCACTTTAATAAGGCCTTCTTTCCTCTCTTTTCCCCTAAACCTATGGAGGTTTAGGTATAGGCTTAATGTGGTTTTGTTCATAAAATACTTCAAAGTGAGCCAGTTACTGCTCAAGGACCCATTATAAAGGCTGGGTGGGATGGTACATGCCTTTAATCCCAGCGCTTGAGAGGCAGAGGCAGGTGGATCTCTGTGAGATGGAGGCCAGCCTGGTCTGCATAGCAAATTCCAAGCTAGCTGGGCCTACAGGGAGACCCTACCTCAAAAAAATCAAAAGAAAAATAAATAAATAAATAAATAAATAAATCCATTGTGGCTTGGTGTTGAATAGCTGGACGAATCAACTAGCGCTTGATGGGCATTTCTGGCCTACTTCAGAGAGAAAGAATGCGGCTCTCAATATATACACATATGTGTTCAGATATGCTCACAGATATATTGTACATATGGTCATTGGCTTGATAGTAATTGTATACATTTACTGTATGTCACGGGTATTCTTAGTCCACCATTTTTTGAGGAAAGGGGTCTTTTTAAATATTTAATTTATTACTTTTATTTTATGTGTATGAGTGCATTGCCTGCATATATGTGAGCACACTTCTGTTGTGAAATGCCCGCAGAGGTCAGAAGAAAGCATTGGATTCCCCTGGAACTGGAGTTATGGGTGGTTGTTAGCTGCCGTGTGGGTACTGGGACTCATACCTGGATCCTCTGCAAGAGGAGTTCTTAACTACTGAGCCATCTCTCCAGCCCCTAAAGGAAAAGGTCTTAAGTAGATAGAATGTAAATGTACTACACACATTTTTGTACTCTTTGTGTTGTCTGAACCACACAGGTTTCCTGTGAAGTCAGTGGGAGAGCTTGCTTGCTGTGGCAACTCAATGGGATCCAGGAACATGTGAAGACTGATCCGGCCATGCCTGAGAGGCTGCATCTCCCTGGTTTGAGCACCTTCATCCCAGAGCTGCCCTATAAGCCCTAGTTCAGTCCAACATACATTTATGTTTTGTATGTTTGGGGACATGGGGAAAGCCAGAAAGCAGCGTTTTCCCACTGGGCTTAAAGACAAGCTAAGGACATAGAAGCTGTTTGAGATCACACAGTGGCTGGTAATGGAAGGCATGTCTAGCTATGCATTTTAGATTCCAATACTGATGTATTTTCTCTTCTATCGCATTGTTACTCAACTATGCAGTGGTGTGTGTGAGTGAGTGTATATGTATATACGTGTGTGTGTGTGTGTGTGTGTGTGTGTGTGTGTGTATGTGTGTGGAGGCTGGAAGTCTATATAGGAGATCTTCTTCAATGGCATTCCATCTCATTTTAAGCAGATCTCTCACTAACCCTAAAGCTCATCAATTCAACTACAGTGGCTGGCTCACAAGCCTCTGGGACCTCCTGTCTCTGTCTCCACAGCACTGAGATACAGGCACATGCTGATATTCCCAGCATTTTTACATGGGTTCCAGGATTAGGGCCTCATGCTCGCCCAGCAGGCACTTTACTGACCTATCCTTCTCCCCAGTCCCCTCAATCATGGGATTTTAACTTGCTTCATGACTGAGTCAATTTTAGGGGACAGGATTAACTTATATAAATTACATACAAAATATAAAATATTCACTGAAAATCACATATCTACCACTATACCATTGTAGCACTTGAGAGGATGAGGCAGGAGGATCATAAGTTCCAAACCAAGCTGGACTACATAGTGAAACCAAGCTGGACTACATAGCGAAAGTCTCAAAGTAACAACGAAATTTCACTGAAAATCAGTATAGGGTAATAGAAGAAGAATTCTTGGGTCAGCATGTTTGGGCTTACTTCCAATTTCATCACATAACAGGTAAAACAGGGGTGATAGCAATACATACCTTGTATTATTGGGGGGATTAAAAGTATTGGTAAGTATAAAACTCTTGGGACAATGTCTTGTAAGTGACCTACATTCACTGTTACTACTACACACACTGTGCCCACTGATAAGGAACCCAGACTTACTCTCCAGAGTGGTGGGTGGGGGTTTTGCTTGATGGTCCTTGGGCAGATGACAAGAGCAACTGAGTAGTTGCTGGATGATCCCTGGACTCAGCAGCTTAAAATCTTCCTTAGAGATGGATGGATGGTGATTCTGTAGAAATATCTCAACCAACTGCCTAGCAGAGAAGCAAGTCTGTATGGAGAAATCACATGGTTACCAACATCAGCCTGAACCAGGCACACCAATAGACACTTGCAGAGCCCAAACTCTGTGGATGACTGCGAAAGAAGCATGAGGCCTTTATGACAAGTTTTCCCTGTTACCACTGCTTCTTTTCTAGCTTCCAAAATTTCTTTAAAATCTCCAATCAAGGTCTGTGTTACCTCTCTTTTGTTCTGAATAAAATTCCATATTCTTTGCCCATTTTTTCTTTCTTTCTAGTAAAGACAGACTGCTTTGAAACGTGTTGTGTGGTTTCTAACCATCAGCCTAGAGACGTTTTCATGGTTTTGTTGTTTTTCAAAGGAGGAACCTTTGTAAGTACAAAGCTATAACTTCACATGGTAAACAGAAGCCCTGTGGTGAGATCATTGCCTTTGATACTCTCCTTAGTAAGCCCATGTTGGCAATGGGTATTTTCAAAAGTAATAAAAATGCAAAAGGGAATCTTGAGAGGATAGTAGGACATAGGTATCAAGGGGGAAATGGGAAACATGGAGAGTTTTGACTGGGAGGGAGGGTAACACAGAGGGAGAGATAAATAACAGTTAAGTATGGTTGAAAAAATATAGGGAAATATATTACTGTATAAGCATATTATAGACACAGATATAGATATTTCAAATGGAACTATACCATATGGGGTGATAATGCTCCCCCTCCAAACCATAGACTATCTAACCAAAGCCTTTGTGCCAGGAAGGGGGTAACCTCCCTCTGAACTGTTAATCAGGATAGTCCAAAAGACTCCTAAAACAATCTTGGCCATTGACCTTGGTTGCATCCCAGGACTTAAAGGTCAGATCCTATTGCTGAAATCACCATACACTTTGGACACAGAACTTGGAGGAGTTGTGCTGGAACTGACCTGGAAACCCCCCTAAGAACCAGCTCTCATAGTATTGGAAGGTGTTATGCAAGTCACCAAGGGAGAAAAGCAATCAATAGTCCTACCCCGGTATAAAGCCTAAAAACCACAGCAATGCCTGGTCCAGCAAGATATTCTTAATGGTGCTATAGTGACAGTTTTATCCTAGGGTGACCAACAACTGCCTATTTGAACTTTGGGCCTACTAAAAAGGGGGATTTCATGCCTGGATATGTAAACTTAAACAAATATCTATGGCTCAAGAGCTAGGAGAACCTACTACTGCCATTTCCTAAATCAACACAATTTCTAGTTGTGTTCTAAGTTCTATTTATCCTTAAGCCCCCAGATAAGGGTAGCTTTTATACCTCATCAAAGTGTTCTCTTTCTGCAACAGATAGAAACAATTACAGAGAGTCACAACTGGTCAAAATGCAGAGAATAAACTACAGGGAGCCTCAACGGATACATCTAAAAAACAACCCCTACAACTTAGGCTCAGAGAACATCATGGAAGAGGAGCCAGAAAGATTTTGAGCCAGAGAATAAGGATGCCTACTGCTAGATATTGTCTTCCAGACATGATAGGGAAACTGATCCCATGAAATCTTAATATATGGTTGTCAAAACAAAACTATATAACAACAACTCCAGCTGGCATGACAACACTGAATGGGGAAAATTTCACAGGGTCCTACCTCTAGATGAAGAGCTACCAGCAATCGATGGCTGCTGAGAGACCAAGAATCCCTTGACTTCAGCCATGAGCTCCCTGATAGGTTATCTTATCCCAAGTGGTCATCCCTAACTAAGCACATGTACATACTAGTGGTACTAAATGTACTAAATGCACATACTCTCTTTCTCTCTCTCTCTCTCTCTCTCTCTCTCTCTCTCTATATATATATATATATATATACACATATGTATATATGTGTATATACATATATGTATATATATAACAATAATAATTAAAGAAGAATTCAGGAGATTGAGTTATTTAAAGGGAGTGGAGTGGCATGGGATGACTTGAAGTGGGGAGTTAAAAAGGGTGGAAGTGATATAAAGACAGCATTCATGTGCAGAAGTCTCAAAAAATTTAAATAAAAAAAAAGTAAAAGAGAATGCTGTGTGAACTAGTTAGCACAAATGCTAAATAATACAGCTACTTCTGTTAACATGTTCTCCACAAAACAGCAGAAGTCCTTGTTCCTTTTTATTGAGTTTACCTATTTTGTCTAAAATTTTATGGTTGTTTTTGTATTACATAGCAACACTTAAACAAAATCCTTAAAATAAAGGTAACATGCCACTGAATATCGCCATAAGGTATTTATTCATCTTAAGAATAAAAACTAGCATTGTGTGCATCGAAAGTTGTAACTTAGTGTTTTTGCATGTGTGTGTGGTGTGTATGTGTATATTTGTGTTTGCGTGTATGTGGGTGTATGTGTGAGCATGTGGAGACCTGAAGTTGACTTTAGGTATCTTTATCATTCTCCACCTTGAATACTGAAGCAGGGTCTCTAGTCTCTTGCTTAATCTGGAGCTCAACATTTCAGCTGTCTGAAATGCTGACTTGGCCAAGGGATAACTCATCTCCACCTCCCAAATATTATAGGTGGGCTGCCACGCCTGCCCGTCTTTTACCCAGTTTCCATTGATCCAAACTCCAGTTCTCACACTTGTGAGGCAAGTGCTTTACCCACTGAACCACCTCCCTAGCCCCTAAAGCTGCAATGGATGAACGAGGATGGACCATGGTTGCAATATGAGCAACTTCTGTTTAGATAAGAATTCAATATATTGCCTTTGTAAACTTTAATTACAATATGTGCAGGAGTTTTAGAAAAATGAGTTGATTTGCAAGACTGGTCAAAGTTGTTTTGGTATAAAATGTAAGGATATTTCAATAGAAATGTATTAATCACAAAATAATGATGAAACACTTGGTGGTTTTTCTCTACATTAAAGTCTTTGGCAGGGACTTCATGGATAAGAAAGTTTAATTGTGACCAGGAAATTTTTGGTTGCATGGAAAAGAAGCCACATAAGCCAAGATTTAACCAAGAGGAGACTGTTGAAGAGAGACACGTGTGTGTGTGTGTGTGTGTGTGTGTGTGTGTTTCCTTTCATAGGTAGGCCTTCTTGTTTCATAAAGACATAGTGTGTGAGTTCCCACTCTAAAGTGACCTTTAAGCGAAGTGCGTAAGACTAGGTTTAACCTGCAGATGGTGAGAAAGATCTGATCATTCAGCAACGCTACCAACGGGCTCCCTTGAGCTTGTGTACACTAGTCGGGGGGCATTTCTCAGGAGTTGGCTAAGAACTCTAAGAGGGGTGGGCATGGGCATAGTGACAGTTACTTGGTAATCCCATCACTGGGGAGGCTGAGACAGGAGGATCATGAGTTCAAGTCAAGCCTACAAAACCATATGCTGCTGTCTCAAAAAAGGGGGGCGGCTAGGGTAAATGCTCATATGCTCATGGGTAAAGCATTTACTTAGCATGTGCAAAGCTTTGGGTTGGCTCTCCGGCACTGGAGGAAATAAAAGAGAAAATAATGAAAACCATCCCAGAAGTTTTCTTTTCTGAAAAGCATGAACAGAGTTTTATGGTATTTTCCCTTTGTTGAAATAGTGTGTCAAAGACAATATTCTCTTTTGCACCACTTGTTACTGGTAGAATATAAATACCTCATCAATAAAAATGCTGATGGAGAGAAAGGAATACTAATAATAAACTTCCAACGATAAATACTTCATAATAAAGACTCATACTGGAAAACGCCTCACAGGTAAGTGTTGGAGGCACACAAAGATCACCATGCAGCTTTCCCCAGCAAACTGAACAGCTTCTAGTTTCAAGACAATTTCTTCAAGAAGCTTGGTCTATTCTAGGCTTCCACCCCCTTAACCTTCACTTACTGTTTCTGTGCTATTTAGGTTATTATTTTAAGTTTCTTCTGAAATTAGCACAAACGGTAATCCTTTACTTTCTACAAAATTTTAAACAAAAGTACTTTAGTAAAGAGGAAAATAGAATGACAGTTTAGATTGCCTGATCAATAATCTTTAGAACACCTTTATTTCTTTATATAAAAATCCAGTATATCCTTACATTTGCATTGCTGTCATCAGACTTCTAAAGCAGGTTTCAAATGCATTCTCAAGTCATCATTTCTAAATTCTGGTTTTGAGAATCATTCTTATCAAAAGATAAATGTACAATGCATGGTGGTGCACACCTTTAATCCCAACACTCAGGAGGTAGAGGCAGGCAGATCTCTGTGAGTTTGAGGCCAACTGGTCTACATAGCAAGTTTCCAGCCAGTCAGAGTTACACTGTGAGACCCTGTCCCCAAATAACAACAAGGGAACAAAACCAAACAAAAGTAAAGTAAAGTAAAGTAAAGTAAAGTAAAGTAAAGTAAAGTAAAGTAGTACTCAGAGTTCCTCATTCAGATTCTGGGATGGGATATGGTGATTTGTTTTTGTTTTCGTTGAGTTCTGAAAACAAAGTCTATGTAGCCCAGGCTGGTATTTAACTCTCCGTCCTCCTGTCCCCACCACCTAAGTGCTAAGGTTACAGGTATGTACAACCATGCCAAGCAATAATCTACATTTCTAACAAATTCCAGTTGGTGCTGATGCTCTGGTCTGGGGACATGACTTAGGGAACCATTGGTCTAAATAACACAGGCAAGGCCCTGGGATCTGGTGTCCAAAAGGTAGAAAACTATGGTCTAAATAAAATAGGTAGGGCCCTCAGATCCAGTGTCCAATGTGAGAGACCCTTTAGGAGTCACAAAGAAAGTGGCATGCTCCGACACAAAATAATAATTATAGATTACTCTGTTATTTTGCATAGTCAGCACAGACTACAGTTGCTAATTTTCTTAGAAAACGTGAGGCTTAAATAATCCTTACATTTTAAGAAAGTCTTTTTATGTTAATAGGGTTTCCATAAGGCAAATTTATTCCTATCCAGAGAACTGATCTTAAAGAAGTATTTAAGGAGACTTCACGAAGACTAACTTGGAGGTAAATGCTTGTCACTTTTGGTTGAATAAAATAAATATGATTTGAAAGAATGTACTCTAATAGTCATATTTTATGCCTAGAAGAGGTAATAGAAATTGATTACCATGGGTTCAGACATGTTAGGCAGGTGCTGTGCTACTGAGCTACAGCCCTGGCCTAAAAATGACCTTTTCCAAATATATCAAGAATATGAGGATGCACAATCATGCCTTAATTATCTGTGCTTAAAATACCCAGTACTGTTAGGAAGAGCTAAGGACTTTTTCTGTTTTAAAACACAGATTGTATTCCATAGCAGTATTATTTAATGTACAAATAACAAGATATTAACTTATTTAAATAAAAATTTCCTAAACAATAACATAATTAAGAACAAAGAATACGCTATCAGACAACCTATGTATATATTCTGTCTCTAAACTTAAGCAATTATTAAGTATCCTATCAAAAGGATGAAATGATGCAAAGCAGTCTTATATAATTGTTTTAATATTAATTAGGTAATATAGTATAGTGCCTGAAATATATAGTCAATGAGGTTAAGACATTACCATGGGGCATTAATTTCTGAATATTTTAAGTAGCTAAGGCAGAGAAAGATTCTACCATTGATATATGAGAAATACTGGGTTCTTTAACATTAAAGGAGATAGGCTTTCTAAGGAACTTCTCCAGTGAAGAGTATGATTACGGTGAAATGGGCTTTGCCAGAATTTCTGCACTTTACTTGACCACAGCACCTCATCTCAAAGAACATCAACACCTTTGATCCCAGGTACTGTGGAGGCAGAGGCAGAGACCTTGCAAATACAAGATATACTGGGCTAGACAGTGAGTTCAAGGACAGCCTGGAAAAATTAGCACGATCCTGTCTATCCTGTCTCAATATAAATATTAGGGACTGGGGAGCTGGTTCAAGACATAAAATGCTTGCCATGTAAGTCTGAGGACTAGAGTTTGGATCCCCAGCATCCACATAAATGTCTGGTAGGCATGGAAACCCATCTGTAATCCCAGCTCATGGCAAGTAGAGATGGGATCCCTAGAGCAAGCAGGTAGCTAGATCAGCAGATCTGGAAGCTCTGAGTTCAAGCAAAAGACTGTACTTCAAGATATAAGGTAGAGATCAATCAGGAAGACACCCAACATTAATCTCTGGCCGCCACACACATGAGCACACATGTGCACACACACAAACATGCAAACACATACACATGCACAAAAAAACAACTTGGGGCTGGAGAGATAGCTCAGCAGTTAATAGCACTGGCTGCTCTTGCAGAGGACCCAGGTTCGATCCCTTGCACCGACACGGTGGCTATAACTGACAATAACTCCAGTTTCAGGGAAATCCAACACTCTCTTCTGAACTTCTCGGGCATTTCACAACACAGGTGTGCTTACATACATGTAGACAATATATACATACACATAAAATAAAATAATAGATAAAATAATGTGCATTAATTTTAATAGGAAGTTGGAGAGATTGCTCAGTTAAAAGAACTTGTTGCTCTTCTAATGGACCCAAGTTCAATTCCCAAAAACCACATGGGGCAACTCACAACCACCTGTAACTTCAGCTCCTGGGGGATCTGATGCCTCTAGCCTCCCTCCTCAGGCACCTGCACTCCCATGAGCATACCCACACTCAGACGCACATACATACACATAATTTTTTAAAAAAATTAATTTTAAAGTGCTAAAGAGGTAAGTTCTATGATAAAGTATTTACTTAATCCTAGATTCAACCCCCAGTACCACATGAAAGGACCAATCTACTATACCAGTGTTTCTGTTGGTCAAATCCCAAAGAAATTTCTTCCTACTCTATCCTAAATTTAAAGTATCTGAATAGCCTCACAGTTATTTGCAATGTTTAAATGTCCCTCTGCCCTGCGTGATCCTTAAGGCCTAGGCCTATGTTTGGCCTATGCAATATTCTGCATGCTAGTACAGTGACTAGTCCATATGAAATACTCAATGTAGCCTTTCCAAATTAACTATGCCTGTGTTTAGTATTGAAGCAAAACAGACCCTAAATATTCCTGCCTTATTTCTATGTCTCTAGAAATCTGCTTACAGAAAAATACAACCATAAATGTAATGCATAGATGGAATAGTTTAACTTTAAGAAAAATACACATTGGGGCTTGGAGAGATGCTCAGCAATTAAGAGCATTGGCTGCTCCTGCAGAGGACCCAGGTTCAGTTCCCAGCACCCACATGACAGCTAACAACTGTTTATAATTCTAGTTCCAGGGGGCCCAACACTTCCTCTGGCCTCCATGGACATTGCACACATTTGGTACACTTCCATACATGCAAGCAAAACACTCATATGCATAAATCAAAAAGGTTTTATAACACTGTAACATGTTGCCTTCCTTCAGCAATAGCAAGCGACAGCATTAAAAGAATGGACATACCTGATCCCAGGACACTGAATGATCATCTGACTCTTTGTACTCAGTTATAGATGTCTTAGGGTCACCCCAATCATGGATTGATACATTGTTCTGTTTCTTTCCATGTTGATGGATTTTATCCCTTTTGGTACAGACACTTCTGGTCAAGAGTAGGTTGAGGAGTTGGTCTAGTTCTAGAAACGTCACATAAAATCTGGTGTCACATAGACTAGACAGGTCAAATTTAGAGTAATCACAATTTCAATGGCCACAGTATAGACTTTTTACAAGGTAAGCTTGATTCTAATGAGAAGCCAAAGTTCATGAAGAAAAGGTAAGAAGTATTTGTAATCCATGCGGGTATTGGTTTCTTCATGAAATCTTGGTTAAATCTTGGTGATGAGTCTTTCCAAAACAATCCTACATTTTTAAGCCCTAGAGACAAAAAGGGGAAAGTAATCCATTGCACCAAGTGTTTTCTCTTCTATAAAAATGTAAAGCAAGCCGGCATGGTGGCGCACTAATCCCAGCACTTGGGAGGAGAGGCAGGTGGATCTCTGTGAGTTCGAGGCCAACCTGGTCTACACAGTGAGTTCCAGGACAGCTGGAACTACAGGGAGACTCTGCTTCAAAAAGACAAAAAAAGATGTAAAGCAGGGGCATGGTGAGATGGCTCCAGGGTAAAGGCACTTGCCACCAAGTCTGATGATCTGAGTTTGATCCCAGGATCCCACAGGGTAGAAAAAGAAAACCAACTCCAGAAAGTTGTCCTCTGCTCTCCATATGTGAACTGTGGCACACTCGTGCGCGCACACACACACACACACACACACACACACACACACATACACATAAAATAACTAAAATGTGATAAAAATTCAAATAAAAAAGCAAAGCAGAAACTGGCTAAATCTTCAGGAAAATTTTCCCCATAAGGCAATCTATGTCTCAACAGACTTTTTCTTTAACGTGGTGATGTTAGCCAAAAAGCTTTCTTTCTAGGTAAAAGAGAGGTATTGTCAGGGAGATATGAGGAAAATGGGGAAGGAATGGGAAAGTTATACAGGGGGAGAAAGAGGAGAGATAAATAATATTTAGGTGATGTGAAAAACCAGAGGAAAATGTATTAACTCAAAAGCCTACTGAATACACACACACACACACACACACACACACACACACACACATACACACACAAAATGCATATGTATAGTTAGAAGCTATATAACAAAAAATATAGTGCCAAGCAGGAAAAACCTCCCTTTGAGTTGTTGGTCAGGGCAGTCCAAAAGACTCCCCAAATAACACAGGCTATTGCGACAGCCCTTGATTGCCTTCCTGAACTTGAAGGTAAGAACCTATTGCTGAAGACAGGACATACTTCAGACACAGGACTCGGAGCAATCAAGCCGAACTGATCTGGAAGTTTCTTCCCTGAAGACTAGCTCCCAAAGTATCAGAAGGTATTATGCAAACTGCCAAGGGAGAAAAATCAATTAATGATTCCATTCATCTGTAAAGACTATGAACCATAACAGTTACTGGCCCAGTAAATAATCTCCACTGGTGTAGTAGCGGCACTTTTATCTTATCAACAGCTGTCTAACTGGATTTAAGGCCCCCTCAATGGGAGGGAATTCATCTGTAGTACTAGGAACATAGCCAAATACACATGACAGGAGAGATCTTAGATCCTAGATCAAAACCTGCTCTTGTCACGTTCAGAGATCAACATAATTTCTTACTGTATTCTAAATATGTATCTTTATATTTACAGACAAGTGTACCTCTCACCACTCATCAAAGAAGCTTCTTTTTTGCTGCAAACAGAGACTATTACAAAGTTTCACACCTGGCCAAACACAGATAATAAGTATCTATGAGGTGCCCATCCTTAAGTGACACATTCGCAAGGCAAACTCTATACTTAATGCTCAGGGAACATAGTGAAACGGGGTAGCAAGCATATTAATACATCTTTCAGCTTTCACCAGTGAAGCTTCCTCCTGCAACCAATGGTGATGAACCCAGAAAGCCAGACCTGGCAGAGTGTTTATCCGTGAACAGGACACATATATCACACCTGGCCACGCAGGGCTCAGGGACCAAGAAGAGGGGCAGAACATTGTAAGAGTCACAGGTGGTGGATGACCGCAAGGAAACAGTTTTCCATACAGTTGGGAATGTACTCATCTGAACTCACAGCAATGGTAAAAGCATACAAAGTTCCATGTAAGCTTAAGCCAGACAAAATCCCAGCATTTAAGTGGGGAAGTGGGTAAGAAGCCACAACTTTGGCTGAGGACCTATTGGCAACTGGTAACTGATGGGAAAAGGCAAGTTGGTTTTCTTTAAGGGTGTGACAGCAGACGCACACCAAAGTACAGTTGGGGAAACAAACTTGACTCAATATACCTTAACATATACGACACAGTACATGAAATTTGGAGGGAGCTATAAGAGGGATGCAGATAGGGGAGGGGGTCTGTGTATGGTGAAAATATATTGTATGAATTTTGCAAAAATTCAATAAAAATTATTTTTAAAAACAAGTAAATACATTTCTGACTGTTCCTGGATGTTGGCTATAATACCCAAAGTTCTCAAGAAAGCTATTAATAGTATGTACAGGGAGAGAGAGGGGAGAAATAAATAATGCCTCACCAGTGTAAAAAACCAAAGGGAATTATATTAGTCCAAAAACCTACTGAAAAATCACACAATTACAATATCTCTGCATGAGTCCATGCATATAGCTGAAGGCTATGTAACAAGAAACAGTGCCAGACAGGAGAAACCTCCCTTTGAGTTGTTGGCCAGGGTAGTCCAAGAGACTCCCAGAATTACATAGTCTATTGCCACAGCCCTTGATTACCTCCCAAAACTTGAAGGTAAGACCCTATTGCTGAAGACAGGACATACTTTGAACACAGGATTCGGAGCAATGGAGCTGGAACTGACCTGGAATCTACCTCCCCTGAAGGCTAGCTATCATAGTTTTGGAGAATACTATTCAAGCAGCTAAGGGAGAACATCAATTGATGATCCAACCCCAGTGCTAAAGTCTAATAACCACATCAATGACTGGTATGGCAAAAAACATTGGTGACACTTTTATCTTGGGGATAATCAATAGCTACCTAATTGAACTTAAAGCTCAATCAATGGGAAGAAACTCATGTGTGGTAATGTAAACAGCCAAATACAAATGGCTGGAGAATAGACCTTAGAGAAAACTCCAAGGCTGTCACAGCCCTAGACAAATGTAATTTCTTACTATGTGAAGATTATGTATCATTATATTACAGACAAGTATCCCAGTTACCACTCATCAAAGAAGCTTCTTTTGCAACAGAGAGATTTTTACAGAGTTCCTCAACTGGTTATACACAGAGATTGCATGTGAACTACCCAAGCCTAAGCGGCACGTCTACAATGCAACCTCTATACCTAAGGCTCATGGAACACAGGGCAAGGGGTAAAGAGGGCACTAATGCATTTCTCATCAACAACGGTCCCTCAGGCAACAGAGATCCAGGAACACAAAAGGTCCCAAATGGCCAAAATGTGAGTGTAAGATTCTTCAGAGTGTGGATAGGACTCCTATATTAAACTCGCCTATGGTCCAGGTCTCAGGGACCATAGCAGAATTTGGGGCAGAAAGATTGCTAGAGTCAGGAAGGAGGTGCATGACCATATGGAAATAGAGTCCTACAGGGTCCTGGGACCCTGCTCATGTGAACCTACAGCAATGATGTCAAGACCCATGTAAACTCAAGCAGACAAAAACCCCAGCACAGAACTGTGGAAATGGGCAGCAGACCCCAATCTTAGTCAAAGAATTATTGTCATCTGAATACTGCTGGGTGAGGAAAAGCTGATCTTCTAAAAGGGAGGGACTTTAGATAGGCTGACTAGACTTCATCAGATGAACTTGTACTGAGGGATGTCTGGGGACACAAACTTGGCTCAATAGGCCTTAACACAAATGACAGAATGCATGAATTCCAGTGGAGAGGTCTATGGGAGGGTGCCAACAAGGAAGAGAGTATAAAGATGAATAAGATGTTCTGTATGAAATACACAAAAATTCAATTAAAAATTACAAAAAAAGGGGCTGGAGAGATGGCTCAGCAGTTAAGAGCACCAGCTATTTTTGCAGAAGACCCGGGTTTGAATCCCAGCACCTACATGGTGGCTAACAACTGTTCATAACTACAGTTGTGATGGGGCTCCAATGCCATCTTCTGTCCTCTGTGGGTACTGCACAACAGAGGTGCACTTACATACATGTAGGCATAACATCCACACACATAAAACATAAAAAGAAATCATTTTAAAGTGTTTTTTAAAGAATTAAAAGGAAGTATGACAACAAGTAAACCTAAAAGCAATCTTCAGTAAAAAACATAATTTTATAAAATTCCTGGTGGAGATTCTGTAGTTGTAGAAAAAAACTGGAAAAAAAAAATGACAAAGGCACTCAATAATATATATGAGAAGAGAGAAGGCAAAACTCACTGATATAGATTGGTTCACAGAAATAATCCATCCTGAAAAATGGAGGAAAAAGAACTGGAAGAAGTCTCAAAGACCCAGGAAAAGGCAACCATAGCAACACACATGCACCAGCAGTCACAGAAAGAGATGACAAAGGATAAGGAGAACATGAAAACAGTGACCAAAAACTTTGGAAGTATGTTGTTAAGGCTTCCTTAGCATGTACAAGAAGCTCATCAAACACCAGGTACAAGAAAGCATCCCTACTGAGACGCATTATGGACAAACCGGTGAGAATCCAAGATAAAATCTTGAAAGCAGCAAGACAGAAGGATCCATCGCCATAACTCGCGGCTGACTTCCCATCTGAACAAGAGACCAAACAATAGGAGAATGGTATCATAGAACTGAAGGAAAAAGTTGTCACTCGATGGTTGTATACCCAGCAAAACACCCCCTTAAAGGGAGCTGGAAAAAAAATCTGGCAAACTGCTAGTCAGCCTTCATTACAAGAAATTCAGAATGATATGCTTTTTATAAAATATTTGTTTTCATATTTTTTATTTTTATTTGTGTGACTCTGTGTGTGTATGTGTGTCTGGCATGTGTGTACAGTAGCCTGAGAAGGCCAGAAGAAGGCATTGAATGCCCTGGAGCTGGAGTTACAGGTGGCTGTGAGCTTCCTGACATAGGT